CCCGACAGTATTCACCCCCTTACCTGCAGTATTCACCCCGCTTACCTGCAGTATTCCCCCTCCTTACCTCCAGCATTCACCCCCTTACCTGCAGCATTCCCCTCCTTACCTGCAGCATTCCCCTCCTTACCTCCAGCATTCACTCCCTTACCTCCAGCATTCACCTCCTTACCTGCAGCATTCACCCCCTTACCTCCAGCATTCCGCTCCTTACCTCCAGCATTCACTCCCTTACCTCCAGCATTCACCTCCTTACCTCCAGCATTCACCCCCTTACCTCCAGCAATCACCTCCTTACCTCCAGCATTCACCCCTTACTGGCAGTATTCACCTCCTTACCTCCAGCATTCACCCCCTTACCTCCAGCAATCACCTCCTTACCTCCAGCATTCACCCCTTACTGGCAGTATTCACCTCCTTACCTCCAGCATTCACCCCCTTACCTGCAGTATTCACCTCCTTACCTCCAGCATTCACCCCCTTACCGGCAGTATTCACCTCCTTACCTCCAGCATTCACCCCCTTACCTGCAGTATTCACTCCCTTACCTCCAGCATTCACCCCCTTACCTGCAGTATTCACCTCTTTTCCAGCCCTGTTCCCAGTATTTCCTTTCCGCCATTAGGTACCCTCAATCTCTCAGGGTGAATGGAGGTCACACGGTGTAGGGTGCCATGGACCTGCCACCTATGGGAGAGTCACCTCATCACACTGTGCTCCCAGTGTGACAACATTGAAGGGAGATTCAAAGAAGAAGACTCCGCACATCACGCCATGAGCCTGGAGGCATCTAAAAGTGTCTGGGGTTAACGGATATTGGGTTGAATGATGGTGGGCGTCTTGGCTATTGTGTCTACCAATGACCACAAGGACCTGCATGTCAATTAAAGATATATAGGTGAAGCCTGGGGACTGGCCTGAAAAAAATAGCAATGCTCCCCAGGACTCCTAAGAGAATCTCGTGATGTTGAACTGCCCCATCTACAAGAGATTCGGTACTCCCGTAAACCAGTCTGTATTCTCTGATGTCTCCAGACAAAAAGGTCCTTCAATGTTCCAACATTCTTCTCTTCACATTTCTGGTTGGACTTTTCCATCGATGATGCGGTGCTGGACGAGTCTTGACTTTCACCCAAAACATTCCTTTCCTCCATGGCATAAGAATGGCCTCCGAGGCCATCTTCATTGTAGGTTCCACCAACCCTTGTGTGCAT